ACTTAAATATACTTCAAAAAGTTGTTTTTAATATTAATTGCCTGAAGTTAAATAAGAAAGTTCAGATTAAATTTCGGATATTTTCCCTGCCAAAATTGCTGCATATATCAGCTTTTCAACCTTTTCTATACAAAAATAATCCAAGTTTTCCATTGTCTTTTATTTTTTGCACATTTGGGGTATGTTTGAACCATTGAATTTAAAGAATCGACTTATTTTAACGTATGTAAAATGTTTAATGCCAATCTTTTGACAAAATTATGTTGAACTTCACTGCTTGCGGTACAAACTACACTCGACCATGCATAACTACCTACTTATGTATCCTGTGCATATACGTTCAAACATGTGTCAACTAGTTCCAAATAGTCTTAATACCAAAACACTTCTAATTTACTAAATTCTCAGTGACATGACAAAATCAACCACAAAATTATGCCATATAAATTACCACAAAACACAACCATACATGTATATAATTCATAAGTGTGTGTAGGTAGTATATATGTACATATGTATTTATTATATGTACATATGCAATAAAGCTTATGACGCAAAGATGTAAACTATCACCACAACCACAAAATGAGCTGACATAAATGCTATGCAATTCCAAGTTCCAATGAGAGGATATTAGATGTGTATGTGCGCTTGGGTGTATGCAAATTAATAATTATGTGTGTTAATAGCAGGACTTAAAGTGGAGTCGGGTGACTGCACTAATATGATAAAATCACTATAACATTGTACCGAAAAGAAATGAACTCTAATAAATATGGAACGGAAATGATAAGTATCGTTTAAAATTAATTTTGTTTCATCACAAACCATTTCATTTTCTTTTAATTCGATTTCATTTTACTTGTGAAATTTATAAATTAAATTAAGTATAGTTAACTTTGCTTAAATTTATTTTTTCTTTGTCTTTTACTTCTTATTTTTATTTTATTTCAATGTGTTTTAATTAATTTTTTTTAATTAATTTATTTAATTTCATTTCAAGTAATTTCATTTTAAGTAATTTTATTTTATTTTATTTTATTTTATTTATTTTATTTTATTTTATTTTATTTTATTTTATTTTATTTTATTTTATTTTATTTTTCGTAAATTCTACAAACATACATAGTCATACTCATTTACTCTGTTAATCACATTTAAGGACTTATTACTTGGTTAACTGTATGCCATGGCTTTTATGATGAAGTGTAACACTAACAATATTTTGTGAATGTCATTGTAAGTAAATGATAACCACAACAACATTCTTGACTAAAAGGTACTAAATGAAGTAACTAACGGCAAGAAATGACTGAAACGAGATGAACGTGACTGCTAACAAGGTTTTGTTACAATGTACAATGTCTTTGTGATGTGAAAATTAACAACTGAATGGAGCAAGCAGACTAACCAAAAATCACGCCAATTAGTTACATTTTGTAGTCAGGAAATAACGAGTCACTGTTTGATGAAAGTAAGTAGAAAAATAGGTTTATAAAACCGGGTCCCACAGGTCAGAACTCAACATTATTTTCCATAATGGGCTGTGACGATTTTGTCGACCAAGCTCCGGTCGGTTTGTTACCAGCCAAAGCCACCAATCTGCTCGATCTAACATTATTATAGCAGAAGTTGAAAAATTGCCGAAGAGATTTTATAACTTTGCTTCAAATAAGTAGTCTCCATTGAACTAAAATAAGAGTCGCACCGAAATGAAAAACTAAATATTTTCCCTGTTACAATTGTGCTTGAATCCGCTAAAGGACATCTTGAAGAAAGTGCTTATTAGAGCGTAAAGTATGCGCTTTTACATACTGAGCTACAAAATAAATACTTATTTAAGTATGCTTATTCATATATGTATACATCAAAGAATGTATGTATGCATTCATAAGTACACTACTTTCATTACCGTTATGGAAGTAGTAGTTTTAGTATCTTTATATGTGACATGACTATAGATATAGAATGCCATAATGTGGATGTATGCACTCATGGCTATATGAGCATAAAAAACTAGGTGAATGTCATTACATTGTTAAGAGGCAACACAGCTACTCAGTATTTATATAAAGATAAATAACTATATAAATAGTTAAACATAAATACCACTTGAACGCTTTGCCCAAGTGTTGCTAATGTACATATTTATCTACTTAGTAAAGAAATACCTTCGTATATACGTTTACATATATATTTGCACATTCTCGTATAACTATGTATTAGCACCTAAATTGTTATAAACCACATTTTATAGGCCATAAATTTCAGCGCGCGGTTTATTTACTATAACCACAAAATAATTAATATCTTATGAGCATGCACGTATCCACAGGTAAATATTTAGTATCGAAATGTTCCTTTCCCTCCTTTCTGAATGCCTTTAATCTAAATATAATTGTCTATGGCAGCCACTGCAATGATATAACGGCAACATAATATATAATCTCTTCAAAAAATATTAATAAATATGCCTCAATACTATGAAAACCAAAAAAAAATATAATTCAAAATATTGAAATAGAATTAAATTTAAAAAAAAAACCATGAAAAAATTTAATAAAATTAAATAAATTGAAATAACAAAAAGTAAAGTAAAATAAAAGAAAAATTAAACTAAAAAACAAAAGTAAATAAAACGATATAAAAAAGGAAATAAATTGTAATAAAATAAAATAAAATAAAATATAAAAAAAATTAATTAAAATAAAAAAATTAAATAAAATAAAAATATAAAAATAAAATATAATAAATTAAAAATAAAAAAAAATTTAAGAAAAAAGTGAAATAAAAAAAATTGAAACATATTTAAATAAAGTGAAACAAAACAGAGCAAAATAAAAGAAATTTAATTAAACTTAATTAATATTAACTAACTAATTAACTAACTTATTGTTTAATAAATTAAAAAAACGTAAAATAAAATCTTGATCTCATAAAAAAAGAAAGCAAAGTAAAGAAATATATAATATAATAAAATTAAGTAAAAAAAATAAAATAAATCGAAGTGAAATAAATTAAAACAAATAAAAAAGTAAAATTAAAAATAAAATGAATAAAACAAATTAAAATGCAGTAAAAAAATATAACAAAATAATTAAATAACATAAAACAAAAAAAAAACAATAAAAAAAATAAAATAAAATAGGATAAAATAAAATTAAATGAAATAACTTTAAATAAAAATAAAAAATAAATTAAAATAAAAATAATATAATATAAAATAATAAAAAGTGAAACAAAACACATGTAATAAAATATAATATAATAAAATAAAGTAAAGAAAATAAAATAAAATAAGGTGAAATTAACTAAAATAAAATTAAATATAAAATAACAAAATTAAATAAAGTAAAATAAAAAAAAAGTATATAAAATTAATTAAAATGAAATGAAAGAAAATGGAATAAAATAAAATATACGAAAATAATATAATATAATACAACAAAATAATAAAATAAGAAAATAAAGTTAAATAAAATATGATATAAAATAAAAAATTTAAAAATTTGAATAAAAGAAAATAAAAAAATTAAATTAAACTAAATAATAAAATTCAATTAAATAAAGTAGAAGAAATTTAAACAAATTTTATAAGAATTGTAACCTTTCAAAAAAAGCACAAATTTTGCTGTCTCGTAAGCGAATGATGTCACAATCTAAGGAAATAAAACTTTTTTGAAGCGTTTTAATTCGATTTGCTTTCGTTGGTCCTAATTTGTTGTTTGTCCCAGTGTTAATGAACTCTACTTCGACACTTCATTAAGCGAAGCCTAATTAAATTAAAAATTTAGCATTTGAAAAAGACGAATGCAAAACAACTGTCAAGTATAGGGGCGACTTTTTGAATGCTAAATAAATATATATATATGTATGTATGCATGCAGTACTAGCAGATGGAAGGCGAGGCCAATAGCATTCAAATTAATGCAGAGTTGAGATATATTTAAGAAATTTTATTTTTAACATTACCTATTAGTTCAAAAATTGTTTTGGTTTTCACACATACAAAACAGAAAAAAAATTTTATTTACGTCTTAAGTAAAAGTAAAGTTTACTCCTGAAAACGTTGCCTACATCCGGGTGCTTCCTTAGTAGATGCACACACCGTTTACAATATTACTAACACCTATCATTAAAAAGCCATTATTTAACATTCTTTCTGTTTTATCTCTCCCAGTTCCACATTACTTGTAAATTCTTTGTATTAAGCTAATTTTAAAACGTTACCCAGCATTTCGAGTATAAAAAAAAATCCTTGCATTTGCTTTGAGACATTGTGTACATATAAAAAATTGTTAAATTTCTTTCCTAGCTAGTAATTTGTAAAAAGCGAAAAACGAAATTAACGCATAGCTGTTGCAAAGGCTTAGAAGCAATTTTACAAATGTCACGGAAAAGTCCTTTACTACGAAAACTTCACGATATAATGAAGGGAAAAGGATTGTAAGCGATGCGCCCGTTAGCATTGTTTAATCCTTAAGGATGTCTGACGCAGACAAGCACACACAAGTACACACATTGGCAAAGACTTGAGCAGCCTTTTAAATTCCGCTGCTTGCCTTCATCTAGCTTGTTCGTTGCTGTAAGCTGAAGCAAAAAAATATTTTCAGCAAAGCGTGCTTGTCCCCATTTCGATTCATCCGTTTCTCTCATTATATACTCGCGTATACATGCAGCTCTGTATTTCTCATGCTTTATTCTTCTATGCCGCCAACTGCCTACCTACGCGCTCGTCTCCCGTTTGCCCACAGGTAATTTGTAGCGCTAATTACTCGTTATTTGTTTTGTGAATCCCCAGGTTATTTGTCCTTTAAAATGCTTTGTAAATTATTTGAAAATTTTTCTCGCAACATTTCTTGCACTTCTTCACTCTCGGCTGCTGCTGCTGTTGCTGTTGTTGGTAAAGTTGCATTGTTTTGCCGGATTTTTCCCGTAATTAAGTTAGTCTCTCACTTTGTTAATTTATCTCACATTTTTCTTCTCACTTTTTATTGCAGGTCCACCCGTTTTGTCCGAATCCATCCAAGGCACAATCGGCCGTTTGCCTTGTAATGTGACGCCGCCCATTTTGGAGGATCGCGTTGCATTGGTAATTTGGTTTAAAGTGGGTCTAAAGACGCCCATTTACAGGTGAGTGAAAGTACAAAGCAAATTAACATTCTCTATTCCAAAACGAAAATTAAATAGGCATACAGACAAAAGTGAATATAACTATTTACCCAATTAGTTTTGTATTTTATGTGACTATAATGATGTACATATGCAAGCACACTATAGAGGGTAGTTTCTTCTTTAACGATATTTAAAAACTCTCTTACTCTAAGAATCATGAGAGAAGTGGACTTTGAATGCTCAACTTCCTAAATTGAATTTTGCGATACTATTTTTTAAAATACTTTTAGAAAGCTTCTCTCTCCCAAGTTATGGATGTTCAATTATTTAGGTGCGACCACTAGCTGCCAGGCCCTCAACCTCCTCTTACAACCAAGTAATGAACAAATGGTCTGCCTACACGGTGGTTTGCTGCAATTACACCTCTTTCTAAAGCTAACCCTTTCTTGCCTATACGAAATAAAAATTCTTTCCATATCAAGTTTGCGCATTCCCTACACAAGGGGGGGTGCAATCGGATACAGACTGTTTCTGTATATGCAGTCACACTTGCCAGGCTACATCCTCTTATTATGACCTCGTAGTATACCCTGAAAAGATGAGCAGCACTTGTGCAAGACGCGGCAGCCCTGCTGTATATACCTTTGAGTCACAACTAAATGAGAGAAGAATGTGTTTTACAGAATATCCAATTTAAGAGCTTACTAGAGTCTCTTTATCGGCGTCTGTTCGTTAGAAATGCAGCTGCAATTGTTTGTCGGTTTTGACACAAGCGCCTCGTAGAGAAATTTTGCGCTGGGTCTCTGGTACGTCACGTAGAAAACAGCTTGGTTGAGAAATTCCAAAGACGATATTTATAAACTAATGTTTAAGTGTAAGCACCTGGAATTTCAGCTCTCTTAAATTAGAAAGTACCACTGTCCAACTGGTTGTTGACTTCTTAAGACTAGAGGATGATATTACTGTCTTCCACGAATTGCGATGTGGTCGATAAGGAAGACAACGAATAGGTGCTTCTAGCTTATACTAGCGTGGCCATAAAAGGAGCGCAAATTTCGTGTCGATTTCTCTCAGGGAAGAAGACTTAGATGCATTCATCCCGGGTAGAAGAATTTCTCTACAAAACGAAGTTCTTCTGCAGCGCTGATTCATTTCATCAATGAAAGAGAAGGACGTTATTACCAAATACCCCTTTTATGCGAGTCAAGAACGACTAATGGGCGCTAAAAAGTCCGACTTCAAAACAAACAATCAAACGGTTTTCTTATCGATTTTCAGTCCTACTCAAAAAAAATCCTGTATAAAAATTGCGGGACGGTATTTCAAATTGTTGGCTTTTGATTAGGCCAATAGAAAAACTGGTACGTTGAGAACATGTGATAGACCACAAGGGTGGTTGTGTGAGAGAGCTACCAATACTTACACAGAGAAGCGAGACGCATTTGAAATAAGCAAAAGATGAAGATCTATATGGATGCATTTCCAAAGCTAGAACATCTTGGCAGCAGGGGTACATATTGAAAACGCTCTGCAAAATGAGGAGACTTACAAAAAGGCACAAAATCGGCATGTGTTCTTACACGATCCAAGGAGATAGTCTATTGATCGGTGCGAAGGACATGTTGAGTTTTTCTGTGGCTGGATATTTATGGCTTGCTGCAGTGACAGAGCTGCACCATGACCAATATTAGTTTCGAAATTCAACTGCATCTTTGGACTGAAGGGGTATTGGCAAGTAAAGTCCTCTTTCGACGATTAGCGAACAAATTTTTTAGGTCACTCATTATTCCGGTACTGTGATGTGGTGCTGAAGCGTGGTCCACGAAGAGTCGGTCTTTATAGCTTTTGAAAGTAAGGTTTTGTGTACGATCTATGAACTTCGATAGAACGTTGGGCTATGTGAGATATAAACGACATGGAATTGGTTAAGCGAGCTAAGAGACAGCAACTAAACTGGCTACGTCGTGCCGTTTCGATATTACCCGACGGTTTAAGCTGAAGAAGAGAAACACCTCCTCTTCGCTTGAATGCTTTGGTGTAAGGTTAACAGACTCCAACTGGAGTCGAATGCTAAAGAAAAGGTACAACTGCTCTTCTGCTCGTCACTTATTCTCTTTAAGAAAAAGGATTGCATGAGAACAAAATGAAATAAATCTTTATGAAGGAAATATTAACGTATATAAAGAACTCAAAGACAAAACTTCATGCAACACCATGCAGCCAGCATAGTCGACATGTGCAGCAGCCAACGAGAACGTTGCCCATATGGTAAAGTGGCTTTGGCTGTTTCGAAGAGCAAGAAACTTTAATTAAAATTTTTGGATAGCAGATGCGCTTACATTGGCACAGAGCGAAAACATTAAGAAGAAGAGATGAAAACAAAAAGCAAATGTGAGTATAACAACAACAATAAGAGAGAATATTTAGTTATATGTATATAAATAATGTACAAGCCAATAACTACTACAACAATAAGCAAGATACACATGAAGAGATTCGTCGCTGCTTGGACAAAAATGATGATAAGAAGAAGAAGAAGCAAATTAAAAATATATAAACAAAAAGAGTTATGCAGCTGTTGCTGCTCGGCTCTTACTCCAATTATATTGTTGTTTGTGTTTACGTTTGTTGCTTTCAATTTGAAAATAATGCTTAAAGGATAACAGGCACTTAGTCGTGCTTCTCGAGTTGAACGTAAATCCGCTTAATGGAAGCGAAAGCAGCACACAATACATATGAATAAACGAATGTGCATTTGAGAGTCGGATTTTCATGTTTTCGATGGCGAGAGAGATATTATATTAAATTGTGAATATTTTTATTTCTTTATATAACTTAATATTAATGGTATTTGTTTTTAGTTTAAGCTTTTATCAGGCGTTCCATACCATGGGGAAATACATGAACCCCTTCCTCGCATGCCTACACATGACCGATCTTGTAAGCAATCGAAGAGAAAAACGATAGTGAACTGCTTTGAGAGCTGGACAGTGGCAGAGACAATGTTCCACCAAATTCTCCTCAACTATATCTCTGCATTTGCTGCAAAATCGTTTGAGAATAAGCTTATCATTTCACCCTTCTACATGAGTCCCTTTAAGACAGTGTATGGTTGTTATGCGGATTGTTATACTTATTGAGGCCCTTTTAGAAGAGGTAAAGAGTTTTGTTAACTTTGATTTATCTGGTAACATTGCGAATGGTTTCACTATACCATCATCTGTTTCGCAAAAAAAAAATTCATTAGACAATAACTTTTACGTTAATTAACGGTTTAGAGGCGGTGAGGAAATTTTATTCCTTGGAAACGCGATCTTTTAACCAGTTTGTTAGCAGCAGCTATTGAAATTAGTTCTCCGTTCTCTCTATGAATTTTCTTTTACGGCCTATATCGAATCGAAACGTATTCCGCGGAGTGGTAACTTGAGTTTTGGAAACAGAAAAGAGGCGCATCGGGCCAAATCCGGTGAAAACTGTTGTTAATCCACGGTATTGAACGAGTTTTTCGTCTTAAAATCATTCACAAGTACAGCTCCGTGCGTTGGCGCATTATTTTCATGAAAGTTTTGGAATGGATGTTTTCGCCTCAAATTGCTAAAAAAAATACTCTCCATCTACCGTCTCTCCCGTTGGAACGCACTCATGATAAACCAAGTCGCGAGTATTTCCGCTTGTATAAATGCAAATCAAAAGAGAAGTGTTCCCAAATGTTCCAGTATGACAATGATTTAAAGTCTTTCGATGGATTTTTTTTAGTATCAGAAACTAATATGGAAGTTAAAAAATTTAGGTCTCCGAAAAAGCCGATCAGCCTCAATCCATTTGGTGATATTTCGCCTTTAAAGCCTATTGTTCTGATCGCTGTACCAAAGATTGACTCCTCGCCTATCCTGGCATTAAAATCCCTCGGTCCGTGTAGAAAGCATCTTTGGTCATAAAAATTACAATTACATTTATATGTTTCTTCCTTTATCTTTATGTTTATTTTATCGGCAGACGCAATAGCGGAGTGGTGAGCATTGTATGCTGGCATTATAAAGGGGTTCGAGTCCTGGTTCGACCAATATCCAAAATAATAGAAAATTATGTTTTCTATTTGAAGTTCCGACAAGGAATGTCAAGCTCTCCGAGTGTATTTATCGGTTCTCCTCTTGAATAAATCCTTTAAATAAATAATTTATAAATGAAGTGTCCCTTCAGGTAAAGTTAGCTTCATTATTGAATATGGTTTTTGCGTGGCGGTTTATAAGCCCAGCGAACTAGGTGTGTAGGATTTAGATTTTAGACATATTTATCTAGATAGCCACTTGATGTAAGACCGACGCCGGCGTCCAGCTGCGGCTGATGAATTTTCATCTCGTCAGAGGGTTTGATATTCCCCGCGGAGGAAAGACCGGAATTACAATAAATAAAAAAATATTTTGGAATCAATTTTTTTATATGATAATTGCGGATGTTGATCTGACGCCATATTAAACTCATCAATCTCCACATTTTACTTAAAAACTTGTATTACGACGTTAAAAAAGTCTAAAAAATAAATTTCCAAAACTTTATTACTAATTTGAACCGCACGCAAAAAAATCACGGCCTACTAATGCTAAATTTCATTTCTCTACTCACATTTCACTACATCTTAATTAGTTCTATGAAATGCCATTAAGTATGGGTGTAATGAAGTGTGACTTTTTTAATGCTGCCTCACCGAGTGGCTAGCTCAGCCGTAGCCATTCTCATACTATTTTTTGGCGCTACCTCTATTACCACGTCACTTGCGTTAATTTGCAACTCTGGCTGAGAGCTCATTATTATTCAACTGCCTGTAAGTCTTCACTTGTATTTGTGCTTGTGCATGGCCTTAATTCACTTTGAAATTTAACATTTCGTCATCTCATCACAAAACTTAACCACCACATTGTCACTTTGCATACCAAAACAGTCGCCGTTAGCCAGCGGCGGGTATCCCGAAAGCATTTCGTTGAAGAAGAACAACAATAAAATGCGCCATTTCGTTCACTTTGTGACTTCACAAGTTGTCACTTTGTCAAAACTTTGGCACATTGTAGTCTACCGAATTTTTTTTTACGGTTTTCTTGCTTTTATTTTAACGTGAACTGGTTGGTGTCTTTGACTTCGACGCTTCGTGCACTGCATTCATCTCTCTTTCTATAACAATTTTACACTTTTCGTCTTTTATTATCATCAGCATCAGCATCAGTAAAAGTCTCATGGACGTCACCCTCTAATGAGCTGCAAAACTATTCTATACTCACGTTCTCAGTCTCTCTTTATGCCATGAATTCGCCGCCGATGAATTCCAATTAAGCTTCTTGGCATTTTAATTGATTTAAAGTAAAAGTTCTTTAGCTTCTCAGTACTTTGTTGGGTAAATGCGTTGTTTTTGCTGGTTGTTGTTGCTGTAGTAACTAGTTAGTAGACAGCGCGCGAGTCACTGGACTGCGACAATTTTAGCAAATCAGTTTGCAACAGTCAAGGCCGCGAGCCGCGCATGGTGTAGGGGATGTCATGACACTAATCAACTATGCGTAGACTCAAGACGCGTGAGCAGGGCCTCGTCTGTCGCGGTGAATTTCGTTGTTCGCCATTCTTTGGCTTGCGCCGTGCGCCATCAATCGATTTTCCATTCAGCAGCTGAGAGCTATCATTTTAAAAATATTTTTTTTTTGTTTTTTGCTAAATGTCTATGTAAGCTTCGCGTATTTTTTTTTTTGCAATAAAACTTGCTGAAAACTACCGGCGCCAAGTTGCAAGGAAATTTGTCGAGTAAATTTTGCTTTTCGCATTTTTGTTTTTTTTTTTTCTTTTTTGTGTTGCTCTTAAACTATTTGATGACATTTTATATTGTCATATATGTATATAGGTGTATATGTGTACTTGTATGTTAACCATATTAAAATACATTAAACTTTTATTATTTCTTCGTTTATTTTATATTACACTTCTTATCTACTCTTTCTTCTTCTCTTTTTGCATCCATTCACTCACAGCGTCGATACGCGCGACTCAAACTTTTCAGATGGCACTCACTGGTCCGATGAAACGTATCGCGATCGTTTGTCCTTCTCGGTGGAGGGACGTTCTGGGACATTGGCAATTAAGAAGACGCGGCAAGAGGATACGGGCGAGTATCGTTGTCGTGTTGACTTTCAAAAGAGTCCGACGCGAAACTCGAAAGTGAATTTAACTGTCATAAGTAAGTATTGTAGTTGTAAAAGTTTTTAAATATATTTTAACTATTTTTCATGTATATACATATGTATTTATATAGTTGTTGTTATAGTTTATAGGTCTTTTGTAATTTGTCAGCCATGAGCCATGAATGTTGGAGTAAAGGGGATTTATTGGCAAATTAAATAAAGTTTGAAGATTTTTATTTTTTTGCTTTAATTTTTGTTTTATTTTGATTTGCTTTGCTGCTACGAATTTAATATTCTTAGTCTTAATTCTCTACCTACAGTCATTTGATTTGAAGTGAGTCCTTAAAAATCTCATTTTAAGTACTCAATTTAATTTAATATTTGAAGCAGAAAATATGTTTAGCACTAAAGACTCTCACCAAAAAGTGAAAGAATATTTATTATATTTATAAATATATTTTATATCATATTAAGGGTGTCGCAAGATCAACGATTTTATTTTTTTTTTTACTTAACCCTCAAGTATATGGGATGGGAATATTTATGGAATGATTCATCGGGCAAATGAATTCTACGGCTTGTCATATATTCCTTGACTATTCTGCATAAATGTGGCTGAATTTCATTGCTGCAACGTTGAGTCTCCTTCTTTAAAGCACGTGTGGTCATGGGCCTAGTGATTTTGATTAACCCCATAAAAAGAAATCTAATGGTGTTGAATCTTACGATTAGCGACGGGCCAACTCTAATCACCTAACTGGAAACAGGCTCGTGCAGTAATTAAAGTGCTTCGACGGATGTATGAAATGTGGCAGCGTCTTGTTGAAACCACATGTTGGCCACATCAGAAAAAATTCAGTTGTAGTATCGCCAGAGATGAAGATGGAAGCAAAACGCATCTGCAGACAAAAAAACCCAATATGCGTGAGTATGAAGAGCTTGAGATGCTGGCCGACAAGTTTAAGACTTTTATGAGAAGATATGACAACTTACGGAAGGTTTCAATACCGGAGCAGACTCTTGTAGGACACAAAGAGGTGATCTAGCCGCCAATGCCCAGAGTATACTGAATTTATGGAGGAAAGCCTTTTCCAGCTGAATCGCTGGCAAAATGAACAACCCGGAGATGGTGAACTCGAAATTTTAATAGATGACAATGAAAAAGTTGTTCCGTTGCCTGACTATGAAGAAGTTCGAATAGCAATCGGCCGGCAGAGCTATTCAAACATGGCGGATAAGAGCTAGCAAGGGGCATGCATCAACTATTTTGCAGAATATAGATGGACGAAAGCATGCCCGACGATTGGAATTCAGATGTGCTCTGCCCAATCCAGAAAAAAGGAGACCAAACAGTCTGCATCAATTATCGTTGGATAAACCTCCTTAATATCCCATACAAGGTCTGGTCGAGGGTATTGGGTGAAAAACTGAAGCCCACCGTCAACAAACGGATTGAACTTTATCAGTGTGGCTTCCGACCTGATAGGTCAACCATTGAGCAGATATTCACCATGCACCATATCTTGGAAAACACCCTTGAAAAGAGGATCCTCACTCAGCACCTCTTCGTCGATTTTAAAATCGCTTTCGACCGCATGGCTGTGTAAACTGACTTTGACCAAAGCACCGTCAGGATCGGGAAAGACCTCTTTGAGCCGTTCGATACCAAACGAGATTTCAGACAAAGCAACTTCTTATCATGGGATTTCTTTAATTTGATGCTGGAGAAAATAATACAAGCTACAGAGCTGAATAGATACAATCCTTTATAAATGTGTACAGCAGCTGGCGTATGCCGATGATATTAATATTATTGGCCTCAACAACCGCGCCCTTAGCCCTGCTTTCTCCAGACTCGATAAAGATGCGAAGCAAATGGGTCTGGTAGCGAATGACTCTACAACTCCCTCGGTGGACGATGACTACATCTGATGAGTTGGAGTTAGAAGTTTTCGAGAGAAAGGTTTTGCGTAAGATTTATGGTTCCTTGCAAGTTGGCAACGGCAACAGCAAGGAATATAATATTTAAATTTTTGAGACTATTTGAGCAGTTCTAGGAGTACTAAATTGGTGAGGTCTCATAGAATGCTTTGATCCGAAGGCTCTGATTAAAAACAAGAAGAACTTATGAAACCTTTCAATTACTAAAAATAGTAGCCATTATTAAATTATTTAACAAACAAAAATGTATTTTTCTTTTTGACGTTTCATTACCTTCTAACAGCACACATTTTTCATATCGAAATATTTGAATGAAAACACAAAATTGCCACTTCTCCACAAGGACTTGCCCTTAAATTGCAACTAAGCAATAAATAATAGATGAAAAAGTTTAATATTTCACTAAATTACGCACGCAATTTAAGCATAAGAAACTCATTTCACTTCAATACTCCTTTTGAATTAAATTCGTTTCATCTCTGCTTTGCTGTGAAATACATTCCATCGAGACGTAGCAACTAAATTTTTGATAAATAAATAGATATATGTACGAGTATGCGTTTGTATGTGGTCACAAAGGTAGTAAAATAAACTTTTATAGGTCAAAATATATAGGTAAATATGAAGATGTAGTATATATTATATATATATGTTTATGTGAAAGATTTAATACTCAAGCTTGGCGATGAAGAGAACACACTCATACATATCAACATAAAAATATATATGTATATACCGACAAGTCTTTGCGTATTTGTACTTATTGTTGCTCAGTACACAGTCACATACATACATACATACCCGTTTGTGAAGAGTTATGCACCTCTTGGTGTAGATAAATAGTTAGTGCATATGACCAACATTTGCACTTTTCATTTCACCTAAATAACATCAAACTTTCCTGCTGACTTTCAAGGATGCAAAACCTAACGAAGAACGTGTTGAGTCAGTTTTGGTTCCTTTAGTTTTCTTTCCTTTGTTTCCTACCTTATAAATTTATACTAATAAAAATGGTGGCAGAGAAGAAAGTTTTGAGTGAAATTTGTTTTGGTTAGTTGAGTTGGTAACGAAAGTGCTGCCAACTGTGCAAAATAAACTAAATTTTCGTAGCGTGTCGGTAGCAAGAGTAGTTGGCCGAGGAGCAAGCGGCAGCTTGGCAGACGACCCCTTAAAGTGACGGAAATGTGCGGAGAGTGTAGCGGCTGATTGCATAATTGTTATGTAAATAAGATCGGGTGTACTAAACTAAAGAATACATACATACATATGGTGTAGTAGTTTATTTAAGAAAAGGTTAAACTAAGATAGTTGGGCACACAAGGACAACGCTCAAGAGCAAGTTTGTTTAGGACAACATTTGTTTTGAAAATAGAAGGTAATTTTTCTTCTTAATTTTTTTTTTTTTAAAAGACAATGTCTAACAACAATTTCTTTTATTTTATTGTATCTTTCATGTACATGAAATGGTGTAATAACTTTGGTCAGATGTACGTAAGAGCAGGAGGATCATTAAAAGTTTCACCGATCGGATCAGCTTGACAATTGTAGTGGATTTTAGCCATGTTTCCGCGTCGGTCTGTTTGAGATGTTTTAACCACACTTGACATATTCCATGCTGTTTATGTTCGAAAAGGTCGGAGAACCCATTTTCCAAGTTTAAAATTTCGGGTCATAAATTTCATAGAGCCCCTAAAACCTATTTGTCCAGAAAAGCACCTAAGGGTGTGTCACTATTTACAGTTATATACAATAAATATAAGCATCGAAAAAATTTTAAATGGGAAGAATATAACTTATATATCCCATGAAACCGAATAGTCTAAACACCAGGATTTTTATGGATATTACGTCAATACAAATAGACATTGACACCAGTTTAGTTTAATTTAATTTTATAAGTTTATTTTTTATATAATTTTATTTTCATTTATATAACTTTATTTTTTTTAATTTTTCTTTTTTATATTTTACTTTATTTTATTTGACGTAATTTTATTTTTCATTTTTTTTGTTATATATTATTTTATTTTATTTAACGTATTTTTTTCTATTTCATCTCATTTTAGTTTATTCTTCTTGTTTGTTTATTTTATTAAATTTTGTTTGATTTCTTATATTTGAGTTTATTTTATTTTTTTTTTTTGTATGATTCTATTTTATGTAATTTTTTTATTTTATCTCACTATATTTTATTTTTTTGTTTTGTTTTATTTTATTAATGTTATTTCATTTGATATAACTTTCTTTTATTTGATTTAATTTTTAGTAATTTTTTTTTGTTATATTTTAATTTTTATTTCTTCTTATTTTATTTAATTTTATTTCATTTTATTTTATTAATTTTTTTTTAGTTTAACACTATTTTATTTTAATTTATATTATTTTATTTTATATTTTATTGTTTCATTGTATTTTATGTTTTTTTGCTTTTCTTCTGCTTACTTTTTCCTTATTTAATTTAAATTATAATTTTTTATTTGGTCTACAATATTTTATTTCACATAATTTTTTATTTTATTTTATTTTATAATATTTTATTTTATTTTTTTAATATTACTTTATTTCATTTAACTTAATGTTATTTAATATTATTTTATTTTGCCTTATTTTAGTTTTTTTATATATATTTAAATTATAACATTTTATTTTATTTGATTTAATTTTTTTATTATTAATTTTTTTATATTTTTCTATATTACTTTATTTTTTTCTATTTTATGTTATTTTATTTTTTTTATTATATTTTATATAATATTATTTTATTTAAATTTTTCTTATTTTGTGTTGATTTATTTTTTTATAGTTTTGTTTTTAATTTTCATTTTAATTTAATTATTTTAATTTATTTTTGTTTACTTTATTTTATATTATTTGAATTCATTTTATTTTAATTTACTTAATTTTACTTTATTTACTCTGTTGTGGTTTTCTTGAATAAAGTTATTAATTGTAAGTGGAAATACTGTGCATAAGACTGTAAACATTTATTTTTGTTTATTAAAATATCTGCATAAGTTGAAGTTAATATGTACACACAACTTGGGAAAAAAATTCATTGCAATGCATATTCTCCAACTGACCTTAAAGTAAACCAAAACTTGAACTAAAGAAAAAGTTCTGGTGCAAGTCAAAAGTGTGCTGAGAAAGTTGCTCAGATATGCGCGGCTTCCTTGGCATGCAAGTTTTGGCAACAACACTACCGTTTTATAGAGAAGGATAAAGAAAAATAAATTCCGAAGCACCTTTACACTGGCAAACAATAGAAACCTTCAAAACTTCGTAAGAACTTTTAATAAAAATATATTAACTTATTTATTTTTTTTATCAAAATCTCTTATTTTCTACAACGACACTTCTTCTGCTCTCTCTTAATCAATTTAATCCCATTATTTGATGGGTATTAGAAATTCTTCAACCAGCAAAGGGTTATTAAAAATTGTGACATTAAAGAAAATCAATAAATTTCCGCTAAGCTACACGCTACTGCCGACAATTATACTTATATATATGAGTCTGTGTGATAGTTCACGCACGGAATAGAGTAAGAAAAAATGTGAAAAATCACTCCAACTATAGAGAAAATGTTTCATTATGCCAAACAACTCATGAAGCTGGTAACTACACTGTCCCTCCCCCCGCATTTTCTTCCGCTTTTTTTACACTATTTTTTTACTGTCTTGCATTTCCCATGGCAACGTGTGGCTGTAGAGCGGAAAAAAAAGAATCAGAGCAGCGCAATAATAAAGTACAACAAAAGTACAAGTTAACATTGTAAACATACAGACGCACGCACAATAAACATAAGCAACAACAAAAAGTACTTATGTATGTACTATATTCCCCAATGTAATGTTATGTATGTATGGCATGCGTTGCTGGCATGCCAAACCATGCGGGACGTATGAGTATTTTTTAATAAAATTCCTACGCTTGATCTTGCCACATGCTCGCTTGTGAGCGTTTGTAAATTTGCCCTTATTTACAGCCATCTCTTTGAGTGTGCGCGTGTATGTGTGTGTATGCTTGTGCGCTTATTTGCTCTAACAAACTGACTGGTTGACTGACATGAAGCTTACTTAGTTACCAACAGTTGAAAGACATTCTCTTGATGGCGTTGAGGCGACGTCAACATGCAATGCGTTTAATGAAAGCGGCGAAGAAACAGCATGGAGTGGCTATGTAGATACATATGTATGTAAGGGCAAGCAAAGGAAAAGATCCAACTGTAAATTTAGATATGCACATATACATATATACATATATATATATATATATATATATATATATATATATATATATATATATATGAGTATATTTACAAATATGTTTAATAAAACAATTCTGACAGTGAGTTAAAAGTAAGTCAGCGCGTAAAAATGCATTGCATTTATTTTCCATTTTTAATTTGTTATTTTGACATGAAAGTTTTCAACGAATTCTTTCTTCAACATAATTCTTACAAATTACAGTTGCTTATGTGGTGAAATTCTTGTGTTTAAAAAATCCTTTTAATAAAATGTGGAAAATGGCAATCGACAGTGATTCTCTCAACTGACGTTTGGTGGATACCACATACTTCTTCATTTAATTTTTCTTTATAAAGGAAAGGAATTTATGCAACATTTCACATTTCACCTTCGCTGCTAATTAATTTTCACATACTTTTCGAGAAAATTTTTTTTTTTTTTTTTTTGAGGGCTAATGTTGAAATTAATAGATATGATTTAAGTGAGAAAGGGAAAAAAATTAAAAAAGTCTAGAAGTGTTTTGGTCTTTTTACAAGAAAATAAAATTCTCAAAATCTCTTATTTATTATTTGATTTACTTGAAATTTGGTACACAAGAACCTCTTTACTTGAATCTAGTTAGGAACCCATTTTTCCTGACTTGGAAGTAGGCCTAAAACTGATCTACTTATTTACTTGAAATTTGGTACAAAGGTAAGCAGAAATGTTTACCACCACGCCGTTCTTATGTTGTTATTATTTTTAGAACGTCAAGCTTGAGTTTCTTTTCTTAGTAAGTTATGTCTTTACGATAGTTTAGTGGTTAGATGTTATTAATGTAATGTATGAGGCTCACGGCTCGAATCTCGCTGCAGGCAAACGAATTTTTATATTTATTTTAATGGTTTTTGTGTCAATCAATAGTTTGTAAGACTTCGCTGTTAATGTATTTGGGAAATATATGGAAGATGATCTAGTTAGTATAAAAATATAAACCTAATATGTTCCTTGTCTCGATATTAACTCCACAGTAGGCATTCCGTACGGCTATTATGAGGACCAGGATTCGAGTCTTGGTTTGATTATATTTCCAAAATTAGAGAAAATTAATTTTTCTAATTGCGATCGCTCCTCGGTGGAGAATATCAAACTCTCCTATTGTATTTCTGACATATTTGTTGGGAAACTTCAAGACTCATACCACAAATTGAAGAAGTAGCTCGGGCGAAAATAAGACATTTTGGCGGTTGCAAAATGCCAATTATACATGTAATTATATATTTGTATATATGTAATATAAAATATTCTTGTAGTAAAGAGGAATACATTATTTTGGGAAATAGAAACAATCCTCACACGATGGTCAAACTCGACAATGACCATGATTTTTGACAATTGGCCTTCCACTCCGCGAAGCGTCATTTACATCAAAATTACCGGAATGAAACGAAAATCGTGCATGACTGACTGCAACAGGGTCAAAGCCATAGACGCCATTCATATTTTATCTAAGAAAAACTATAAAATTTAGCACATTTTGTCTTTGCTAGTGTTCATATTTGATGCACGCATACGCAAAACTGAGTTAGCCAATCATAAAATCGTCAGAAAAGTTTTTCTATTAAGAAATGTCATCTAACGCTATCTGGCGAACATCGAACCGAGATACGGATAAATAACGCAATCTATTGAGAAAATAATGGTTCTCTTTTTTCTACACCAATATATATGTATATATGCATATAAGAAAAAATAATTACTGTTTCTATCTAAAATTATTTGGCACAGTTTAAATAATGTTTGTACTCTTAAAAATATGCTGGAAGTGAGCTAGGGATTGACCTGTCATACTTATGGCTCCACATAATTTAAGTTCTCTATCTTTTCGCTTAGATAAATCATACACTGACAATTCATCTTGTGTATCATGGAATATTAATGACAGTTTGCTAGTACCCAGCTCAACTCAACTTTCTGATCTGGGACTTTTTAAAATAAATAAGGTCCATAAATAGCTTAGAAAGACTTTGGAAATAATATTTTCGGATGACGTTTCGTGGTTTTCTCTTCCCTTCGTTTTGTCCGAAGATGGTTATCATCCATCTCTCAAAACTTCCAATCTTAATTATCCAATAACTACTTCAAAATGAATCAGGGACCAGGTAAGATTCGTTTGAAATTTGGTGGGTGATTAGCTTTTCTTTATAGGATGGTTGCCACAGATCGGCAGATCGATGGAAACTAGTATGATGTTAGTATACTGTGGCTGGAGGTTACTCTGAATTGGGCTATTAGTAGCGAAAAGGGTACTTACCTCTGCTTAGAACCATTTTACATCCTTTTAAGGTACAGACATAGGTAAAAATTTACTCAGACGCTGTGACATTTTAACACTATATATTTTTCACAAATAAAGATTTGGCAAGATCTCAATTATGTAATAAGGAATGTTGTGGGCTATATTAGTTATAATATTATATATATGCGAGTTCTCTCCGAACCCCCAATCGCCACAGACATATTGGAACGAGTCGATCCCAAACTTAAATGTAATATAACTACCGAAGAGACATGGGCTTACCTGACTGGCGTCTTCAAAATGAGCCGAAACCGAGAAAAATACTTCAAAGTGAAAAAAAATGTTCATTTCTTGGCTTTCCCCATTGTTGTGTACCCGGAATTTTTCCCCAAAGAATAAATAATAACTTTTGTGTGTCCAAATTTGCTATCTCTTTTTCAAAAAGCTATCAGTTTGAATGAATTTCTCTTCTAAGGCTAAAAAAAATACCACTGAACAACTCTTAATTCATCTGTTATGGTGGCCGCAAAAAAGAGCAAAGAAACTAAATAACAGTCTCAATCAGAATTTCAATAAAGCTTAACGTCTATAAAGGGCAGAGTTGTACCTCCTTGGCGATAAAAATAATTTTATTACTCACTTTAGTTTTTTAAACTATTAAATACCCGGATTCCGAATAAAATAAAAAATAAAATAAAATGCTGGGAAGAAATATATTTCTGAAATTTTATATGAACTAAAAATGGAGTTAAGATCACGAATTAATTAGTATTGGAGTTTAAGTAACTCCTCGGATTCTAAAAAACGAGATAATATCAGTTTTATAAAAGGAGAATCGAGTTAGTAATCTTTAAACATTATATAACAAATTCATCGCCCGCTTATACCTGTCTGTTTGTTCTCTATAAACTCAAAAGCAACTGTAAGGTTTTTCTCACAGTTTTTGCAATTATATAGTGCATTTTTTGAGAAAGACTCCGAAGTAGAAAGAACTTACAGGACCAATTACATTCGAGACCAATAATATTCTCTCAGACGGCCTACGATGATTAAATGCCAACTCTTTATATATAAAATATAAGAAACCTTATATGTAAGCAGACAGGTTCTTATATATATTATAAATGATCTCCCTCAGCAATAAAATGGGCACGAAAGCAGTATAGTAACAGATATTGTTATAGTTTTGTGACTGCTTTAAGGTCTACAGATCCGTTAGGATATGTATATTATGACGATAGATATTTTCAGTGCATGAACGTCCACTTATATTTTTTTATATATTTTATTAATATTTATAAATTAATTTATGTGTTGAATATAAAACGAGAAAAGTAGCTTAACTAGTTTATTCAATTTCTTTCTTAACAATTGTTTTCAAAAATAAAATTTAATTTAAATATTTTCAGCTCCACCCGAATCAATAATCATACTGGACAGCAAAGGTGCGACGATAAAAGACTACAAATTGGGCCCTTACAATGAGGGTGCGGTCATTAATATCACATGTGTGGTGGTTGGAGGTAAGTGCGAGGATATAATAGAAATATAAATAAATGTTTCCTTAAGACTAATCTCAGAATAATAATTTTATTTTTATAAATTTCTTTGATTTTGCACATATAAGGTAGATATATTATATATATTTATATATGTAAATGTATATATATATATGTCTAATGGCCGAATAATCGTGATATATTCTTTACTTAGCAGAATATTTTTATAATTCTTAGAAAAAGATTATAGGTACTTCCATTTGGAGTTCAATCAAAAATGAGTTCAACACTTATAAAGCGCCAATCCGATAATTTAAACCATTAAAGGGTAGACTTTAGTTTCAGAACTTTTTTTTATTAGAAGCTTCGTGTTTTATTCGGATTTTGATTAGCTGAACTGATAACAATTCCAAATGACCGTCTCTCCATAATAAATAACTCGACAGATAGCGTTTGTTCTTTATCAGCACTAGCCAATGGTACGGAACCATAATTCAAGCAGCTGCCAAAGGCCCGAAAAACTATATATGGTAGTTAAATAGGGACAGAACTTTTATCCACAGTATACTCGTAGTTATTTCAGTTAACGTACTCGGAAGCTCTCTGGAAGTAAATATTATTTATACAATTTTCTTATATAACAAATTAGCTGTATTTTCTTAGAAAGTATATAAATATCTCTACCTCATTAATGCTGTGAATTTGTTTCTTATGGTAGCTTATAGCGTGTTTTACACTTGGACTTATATAATATTCTACCTGCTTTGCTTTGTAGACACCGCTTACGTGATTTTAGCCGATTTAACAACATTCCCCCATTCGTTTCTTCTTTTTGCTATTTGGCGCCAATTGGAAATACTAAGTACAGCCAGGTCCTTTTCTACCTAGTCTTTTCGTCTTCCTCTGTTTCCACCGATGAGTACCGGATCGAAAACTTTCAAAACTGGAGTATTCGCATCAATCAGGACCACATGACCTGGTCAGCGTAGCCGCTGTTCCTTTATGCGCTGAACTATATCAATGTCGCCGTATAACTCGTACAGCTCATCGTTCCATCGTCTGCGGAAAGACCTTAAATCTTACGCAAAACCTTTCTCTCAAAAACTCCTAACGCTGTCTCATCAGATGCAGGACAGGAACGCTGAGGGATTTGTAGAGTTAGGCTTTCGTTCTTCGAAAGAGGACTTTACTTTTCAATTGCCTACTCAATCCAAAGTAGAACCTGTTGGCAAGACTGATTCTGCGTTGGATTTCCAGGATAGCATCATTATTGGTGTTGATGCTGGTTCCTAAATAGACGAAGTTATCTATGAGTTATGGCTGTCAACAGTGACGTGAGAGCTCAGTCGCGAATGCGATGATTGTTTGTTTGATGAGAGAAGATCTTTCGTCTTGCAAGTCTGCAGAAAGCAGAACTAATGCCCCGATTGCTGAGGCCAATAATGTCAACATCATCGGCGTCCACCAGCAGCTGTACACTTTTATAGAATATTGTGTCTTCTATATTCAGCTCTGTAACTCCAGCAATAGGTTAAAAATGAAGGATGAGAGAAGAAGCTTCAGAAGAGCCACTCCGACTTATTTGGCTTAATGGTTATGACAGACGGAAGACTTGTCTCCAGTGTTCTTGTCGTTTGTACGCTCCGAGGACACAAACATTAACTCGGAGCACTATATTGTTGTAGCGAAAAATAGCATGCGCCTCTTTATGTCAATAACGCCCATCAAAAAACACACGAGAATAGCTGCAACCACAACAGACTACCGAACGGTTTTCTACTTCGTATAAGAGAATTTGGAAAATAATTTCAAACATTCTACGTACAACTGCAAACCAAGCTATTAGATTTCGTAAAGGTCGCAAAAACGGCTGGTACAACCAGGGCTGCTGTATTGCGATGGAGGGAAAACAGACTGCCTAATTCGCAACCTTGCGTTCGATCACAACACGTGCGGGGTGGAATAGATACCGAGAGCTGAAGAAGGAAGCAAGACGCATCTGCAGACAAAAATAGAAGGAGATCGGGAGGCGTGAGCATGAAGTTCTTGAGAAACTGGCCGACAAGGATAATGCCCGAAAATTCTTTGAAAAGGTACGACGACTTATGGAAGATTTCAAGGCAGGAGCAGACTCTTGTAGGACACTAAGAGGTGATCTAATCACCGATGCCCAGAGCATGTTGAATTTATGGAGGGAACACTTCTCCAACCTGCTCAATAGTGGTGAAAATGGAGTATCCGGAAATGGTAAACCCGGAACCACAATCGATGACAATGCAAAAGATATCTCATTACCTGACCACGAAGAAGTTCAAAAGCAATCGCCTACTTAAAAAAGACAACAAAGCGGCTAGAGCTGAACCGATAAAACTATTCAAACATGGCGGTGAAGAGTTGACAACATAAATTCATCAACTATTTTACAGAATATGGTGGGTGGAATATTAATATGACCAATAAACTTCAAGAAACTTACTATCTGGTGCCCTCTTTGGTACGGAGACGTGATCCTACCTTACCACCACATGCTCCAATACATGGTTTTTTTTGCGAAAGTAATTTGCCGGCCACATAAGCTCACGTTTTTGCGATGTAAATTGGTAATCTCATTGGCCAATTTGCATCGCTTTAGGAGCCATACGTTAGACCCTTAACTCTTGAGCACTTGAGAATCAACATTCCTCAAGTTATGACTGAGATACTGTCCAATATGTGTCAAAAAGTGGTCAAAAAATCACATCAAGTGGATTAAAAGAAATATTTTCAATGCATATTTTTCACGTTTATTTCCGTACTCCAAAAAGAGAAACCCTGTGCATACATATATGTATATGTATATGTACATGAAAGTGAATTTCATCGCTGAGGCACACATGCGGCCACACTCCTTCGAATAATTAGTAATTAGACTGAAAGCTAAGTGATACTTTGCTTATGCCAAACATTTATTATTTTCTTTTACTTTACGAAAATAGTATCAGAAGTAATTTTCTTATTTATCTTACGCATTCGAACAACAACAACAAATATATGCCCAGACACGAATTTTGTATGAAAGTGCATGACTCTGACGTAAGTATTGTGCTGTGCGGAAAATTAAGAAAGCAACTTTGAATAAAGCCAAATGAAATGAATGTCCAACAACAACAGCAACAATAACAGCATGAATACAATACACCCACATACATATGAATCGGTGGAATAATTTATGCAGACATTCACTCATCATTATACTGATTGCCGCCAGCTGTCATCATAATCCCGCATTCATACCCACATGCACGCACTCACAGATACAAATATACGAGTATGTATAAGTAAAATGTGCTGAAATCGAGAAGAAAGCACGAATTCAAAGACTTCAAATGGTGTATGTATGTGTGTGTGTGCGCGTGTGTGTGTGGGTGTGTGTGTGTGGGACTGTGTCTGCCTGATATGAGGGGAAAAGGAGAAAAATCGACGTAGATAAAAGGAGTATCCGAGCGTTTTAATGGTGATGAGTAGCGCGAGAGGGGGGTGTGGAAGGGAAGAGATTGTGAAGGGATGAAAATGAAATATTAAGAAAAAGCTAATGTCAAGTTGCCACCGCAGAGTACAAGAGACGCACTTGAATTAAGTGAAGTGGCAGCGACAATTCTAACTAAGAAATACTCAACGGATCACGAAGCCCAGGATATGCAGTAACATCAATAAACGAAGAGGCGGCAGTCGAAAAAATACACACACGCACACAAAATAAAACAAACAAACAAATAATGAAACAGCGGGTGGCCAAAACGAAAAGACAGACAAAGCGACACAGAAAGAAGTAAAGTCAAAAGAAGCCAACGGTGGCGGTGACCCAGTTGCCAATTCGTTGTTGCTGGAGTGACACAGGGGTATGCGGATCCAACAAAGAAAAGAAAAGATGGGCAGCTAACGAAGCAGTGTATTTGAAAAAAGCGTATAATTAGAAAAAATGGCAAAACGGGTGCGTGTTTAAGCAGGGAAGCGCACACAAGCAACTTAACGCCCAATACTAGAGGGGAAAAGGACGCAGAAAGAACGCGACTAAATGAATGATAGCGGTGTAGTGAAGTGTGTAGAATGATAGCTAAAACCTGATGACGCTGATGATGATGTTGACTTTGATATTCCCAAACAAAACAACAACAACAATGTGTACAACTTTGTAGCAGCAGCGTTGTCAATTTGTGTTTATGATGCCACAATAAGTACACAATGTTGCATAAACACATTTACGCGCAAATTTATTTACATGCAACATTTACATACATACAAGTTTAGCTGTATATTTTTATATCTATGTAGGTATGTTTATATACATATTCAATTTATGTGCATTTATGCGTTTACTCACATCCGACCGCGTAGCAATGCGTGTAAATAAACATGTTTTATGCGTGTTTTATTTATTTGTATTCTTTTTTTTTTTGCACAGAAAGATGTGCATATATGTTTATAGACCCTCTAGGAAAATTATAACTAAAAGAACTTTTATTATATTATTATATCAAAAAAATGGAAAATATTCTTTCGGCCAACCGATAGTATAGCGCAATTGTAAAATTTTCTTTATGGAAAAATGTAGTATGCTTCCAGGCGCTAAAGGCCAAAACAAAAAATATTTGTTAAAATTAGCAAATGTTAAAGAAGGTAAATTTTACTTATTTCTAGTAAGAAAAATTAAAACAACTAGAAAATCTTTTGAATTTATAATGAAAAAAAATTTAAAAAAGCAAACTATGAGTAAAAAAGTGGATCATTTACACACAAACCAACAACAACAAATAATAAACAACTATAAATTTACTTTGTTAATATTTAAAATAATGTTTCTTATAATTTAATAAAATATTCAGAGAAAAAAAATAATTCATGAAAAAATATATAATAAATATTATTTTTATATATTATATATAAGGAAAATAATTTAGTATAGCAATAGTTTTTCTTCTAATTGGCCTTAGCATCACTTACGTGATTATGAAAGAATCAAAAATAAAGCGCCAATTGTTTCTTCA